GGTGGGGGGAGAGGGCTCGGGTCTGGAAGCCACCATCCCTGCATCCAAAACCTACCCCCATTCCTCCTCTCCCTCCTCCCCCTCCTCCTCCTCCTCCCCCTTCTCCCCCTGTTTCTCTCCTCCTCCTCCTCTTCCCTCTCCTCCTCCTCCTCCTCCCTCTCCCAGGCAGTCCTTACATCTCCCACAGTGTAGCGTCACCTCCAGAAGCTCCTTGGTCCCTCAGGACAAATCGCCTGGATGCCTGCAGAGGGAAAGCTTGCAGGAGCACGGGGCGGGTGTGCAGGAGTCACAAGTGGCAACTAATAAAACTCTAGTTAGAGGGCCTGCGCGTCACTGTGCCTTTAACTTGGAAAGCCAAAGAGTTGTATTCCTAAATGAGTTAAAGACCCATTTACCTCTGTCGTGTTCTATTCATCAAGCCACAAGTTGAGAGTTCCTAACATGAAACTATTTGTTTGCTTACACAACCAGCTGGGCGCAATTTCACGTCTGAGATATCTATCTGAAAGCGCCTCTCATTTATTATCTCTCCCTGTCAGCGAAGCCATTTCCCAGCTCCCCCTCCCCCTTTGGAGATTATTTATTTATTTGTCTATCTATTTATTTACTGATTTATTTATTTGTGGTGGGACTTCTTTGCCTGGGAGGACCTGGGCGAGGAGGGCTCCCCGGGCGCGACTGCTGCCTGCGCGGCTTGCGCTGCGCCCAGAGCCGGGACAGGGTGAGGCAGGCGCTCCCTCGCCCCCGCTGGCCCCCGCCCGTGTGCGCGGGCAGCCGATGGGCCTGGCCAGACACAGCTGCCTGTCCCCCTGGATGTCCCCCTGCTAGCTCTCCCCAAAGGAAGCCTCAACCACCTGTGCAAGGCGAGGATGGAAGGGAGGCGAGGGAGGGGGGCCGAGGAACCTCTCCCGGAGTTGGGGGCCCAGGACACGGCTTTGAGATAGGCTTTCATAAAGCCTCACCTAGTCCCAAGGGGCCAATTTCCTCTTCGGGCCGGAGCTGGAGTGAGTAACCAAGATGTAAATAGTTGTGTGATGGGTTGGGGGAGGGGGCAGCGCATTTATTGTGTGTGCGGAGGGGAGAAGGCTGCACGTGGTTTCAATTTTAAAGCACAAAGAAATAACATGCAACGCAGAAAAGAGGTTTGTGAATGTAATTGAGAGGAAAGAAAACAATTAACACGGTGCAAGGTGGCACACTCCACCCCTCGCCTTCTCTCCTGCCCCAATTTTGAGAAATCCGGATCTTGTCCATAGAGTAGGTCTAGGCAGTTGGTTCCGGCTGATAAGGGAACCTCTGATGGAGATCACAGTGATGGGTGGATAATGGTGTCTACCCATCTCCTAGTCTGCTAAGGCCTTCTCCAACCAGGCTGGGAGCAAGGGATCAAATCCCCAAGTCCGGCGTCTTAAATGTCCCCAGTTGTAAAGAGGAAAGGAGAAGGGGTGTCTGCAAGGGAGGGGAGAGGGAGAAGGAGAAAGAGATAGCGAGGGATTTCTTTAAGGCAGACCAGGCTGGTCTCTGCAGGCTATCCTATTGTGTTGATTTACGAAGACATTTGCTGTATATAACGTTTAAGGCTGATAATATCATTGCGCAGCCAGATAAATAAAGCGTTGGCCCAATGGTGGGGTCAGCGATCGATCTCTGGGCTCAGAGGAAAAAGGAGAGAG